ATATATATATATTTTTATATAAAAAGAGTGTGTGTGCGTGTGTGTGCGGGGGGTGTCTCTGTAAATGATAAATGGACTGTACTTATATAGCAGTAAGTTTCTATCTTATTGAGATACTCAAAGCGCTTTACACTATAATCTGTGTCCTTGTTTACCCATTTATACAGCACTCTACTAGATCTCTACAAAACTAATTGAACAAATCATTCTAAAAAGACTAATCAGTGATCACATTCACACATTGATGGGACACACATAAGAGACAACAAGGAGTTCAGTGTCTTGCCCAGGGACACTCCGGCATGTGAATGCTGTTGGATTCGAACCCCCAACTCTCACATTGGAGGATGATTGCTCCAACCACTCAGCCACAGCCGCCCATCGTGGCTATGTCATAGCCCCACCTGGAGAAAAATCCACCAGCTTTCTCTAATTTGGCTGACTGTTCAGAGAGTCCTCGAGGAGGGCCACAGGATGTTGCTGGTGGCTCCATATTGGCCAGTATGACCATGGTTCCCTCTGCTACAGAGTCAATATCAGGGCGTCCCATGGTGTCTTCCGACCAGGAGGGATTTGCTGTCATAGTTGGGGGGACTGATATGGCACCCCAAACCTCAATGTCTTCGGCTGTTAGTGTGGCCACAGCGAAGCTAGAGCAGTAGCTGACTGGAGTTTTGAGCCCCATCAGATGTACCATCCAGGGCAGGGTTATTGTGCCCAGTGAGGGCACTGGAAACATACATTGCAACTTCTGTCGCTATACAACGTTCACACCAGCTTTTTGTGTCTTACGGAGGCCCTAGGTTCTCTGCCACTGTATCAAGAATGTCATCTGCCACGCCTATGCCGCAGGGCATGACCCCCGCTGGTCGGTGTGAAGGTGCACTCTACCAGAAGCATCTCCACTTCCTGGGTGGTCCTGAGAGGGATTCTGCTGGAAGCAATATGTGCTGCCGCATCATGGGCTTTCCCAAGCATGTTCACCAAATTTTACAGCGTTAACGTGGCCACTCTTTATCCTCTGGGCCAGCTTCTTCTGCAAGGGTCCGTTGGGCCTCCTTAGTGAGGTATGGGCTCAGGATTCCTTGTTGCATTGATGGTATTAGTCATTCAGTGTTTCTAGCACTGCCCTCTGGCAGTCAGTAGGGATGAAACAGAATGAATTTTATGCATGTAACTAAGGTTTTATGAATCCCGGATGACGGCCAGTGATACTCTGTCACTCAGAATCCTTGCCTCAGGAAATAAGTTAAGGAGCATAAAGTGCAGAACCACTAGACTGAGGAACAGCTTCTACCTAATGCTGTTAGACTCATAAATATCTAACTAGGATAATCATTGTGAAAATTCACATCATTTTGCTGCTGATCTGTTTCATGTTGCTGTGTTCATGCGTGCTCATCTGCTCACACAGTTATGTTCGTACTGCGGTTTGACATAATGTTTTTTAGCTACTAGTGCTCAGTGTATTATTTAGCTGATGTTTGTCTTAGTTATTATCTTACATCTTATTATTGTTTTTCTTTTACATTTTATTGTTGGAT